GTGAATAAATCAACAACACTATGGCTATGGTTGTTCTCCTTTATCTTCAACAATTAATTAAAAGGATCCATTTTTTCTTAATAACCTCATATAATCAACTCAAAAATATCCCCATCAAAAACTCTACGTGTTGATAAATAGATAACACTGCCATCATAATAATTAAAGAATTTAATGACTATCTCTATTTGTCCATCTTCTCAGAACTCTTTATAAACAATTCATTCCTTATAAATAAAAATACAGAACTAGTTTGATTTAAAAAGAGAATGAATAAAAAAAGTAATTTATAACAAAAATATAAAAAGAAAGAAGAATAAAAAAGAGAAAAATAAAAAGGGTTATAAAAATGGGAAAAGGGTTATATTGATAATATAAAAAAAAAGGAAAAAAGAAAAAAGAACTTGTAAACTAAAGAAACCAGTATTTATTGTTACTAATGACTGATCCAACTAATCAAATTCCAGATTATGTTCCAACTACTGAAACTAAAATGGACATTGAACCAGCAAATAAAGATAATTATGTAGGAACAGTTGCATTCAGTAACATGAATCTCAAAAAAGAAATATTAATGGCTATTACTGATTGTGGATTTGAACACCCATCTGAAGTTCAATCACAAGTTATTCCTAAAGCATTATTAAAACAAGACATTTTATGTCAAGCTAAATCTGGAATGGGTAAAACAGCTGTATTTGTCATTTCAATTTTAAATCAAGGACTTTGTCTTGGAGATTATGTATCAGCATTAGTTATTTGTCATACTCGTGAACTTGCATTACAAGCACAAAAAGAATTTGATAGAATGAAAAAAAGACTTTGTGAAGCAACAGGAAAAGAAATTCCAACAGGTACATTTGTTGGAGGTGTTGAAGAAAAAAAAGATATTGAATTTATTAAAACACATAAACCAACTATTGTAATTGGTACACCAGGTAGAATTGCATCTCTTGTTAGACAAAAAGCATTAGATTTAAGTAAACTTGATACATTTGTTATTGATGAATGTGATAAGGTTCTTGGATCAACAAGTGAAATTGAAATTGGAGAAATATTTATTTCATCACCAAAAGAAAAACAAGTGATGATGTTTTCAGCTACTATTTCAGAAACAAATAAAGGTATTTGTAGAAAGTATTTAAAAAATCAATTAGAAGTGTTTATTGATGATGGAGAAAAATTATTCCTTCATGGTCTTCATTTATACTTTAAAAAATTAGGAGATAATGATAAAAAGAAAACATTTATGGATATTATCGATTATATTGATTTCAATCAAGCAATTGTTTTTGCTGAAAATAGTGAGAGATGTCGTGTTCTTGTTAAGAAATTAAAACAAATTGGATATCCATGTGGTATTTTATATGGTAGAATGGATCAAGAAATAAGAGAAAAAGAATATCAACGATTTAGAGATGGAGAGAGTAGAGTTTTAGTTTCTACTGATTTATGTGGAAGAGGAATTGATGTAGCTAAAGTAAATCTTGTTGTTAACTTTGATATGCCTAATGATTCTGATCAATTTTTACACAGAGTAGGAAGAGCTGGAAGATTTGGAACTAAAGGAGTTGCTATTTCATTTATTGATACTGAAGAAGATGATAAAGTTTTGAAAGAAGTCCAATCAAGATTTGCTGTTCAAATGGATGAATTACCAAGTTCATTGAAGGATATTCCCACAAGTTACTACAAATAACTTAAAACTACAATTGACTGGTTTTTATTTTTGAAATGAAAAGAATTAAACTAAAAAGTTTATTTTCTTTATAATAATACTTTTCTTAATGAAATTGGAGGAAGAATAAGTCTAAATGGAAGAGATATACATCCATAAAAACATCCTGGTCCATATTTTTGAATTGAGTTAACATTTATCTCCTGAAGAAGATGACATTGTGAAAAACATCCTTTTGGTAAAATTGTTAATGAAGTTGGAAGAATGACTTGAGTTAATTCATCGCATCCCTCCAAACTTGATATCCCAAGAATTAAGTCTGAATTTGTAAATTTCATACTATTTAATGACTTACAATTACAAAAAGAATGATAACCTATATAACTTAATGTTGATGGTATTTTGATATGATTAAGACTTAAACAATTTAAAAAACATTCATCTTCTATTCTTTCTAAATGATAGTTCATTTTAATTCTTTGTAATGAAACACATTCTGCAAAACATCGTTTAGGAAGTATTTTTATTGATGTTGAAAGTGTTATTGATATTAAACTCTTACAACGAAAGAATGCTTGTTCTTCAATATGGTAAATATTATTAGGTATAGTCATTAATCTTATTGATGATGATTTAAAACAATCTTTACCTATACTCTTTATTGCAGGGTCTCTTGGAATCTCATATCCATATCTTTTCATATCATTTTTTGTGAATTTGACATGAAGATACTGTACATTTGGTTCTTTACCAATGAATGTGTCATATGAAACTTCACAATGAATAACATATTGTAAAACATCTTCATAAATTATATCATTTGAAGAATAAATATGTTGTGTTTCAAGTGATGTAAACATTGTTCTATCGTTTTGACTTAATAAAGGAAATGGATTAAAGTGATAAAGGTCAACAATACCATAATACTTCTTACAAACACTCATAACATTGATATAATCATCTTTTGTTTGAAAGTATTTTCCAATAATTAACATACTATGTCTATCAACCATTCATTTATTTTTTCTTAGTTCTTTTAAAAAAAAAACTAATTAACATTATACCAAAACCATCTACTAAAAAACATTTTAAAAAACTTACATCAAGGTCGAGATAGGTCTTAACATCATCACAACAAAAAAAAAAAAGAAATATCTTTGAGAACAATTCATGTTTTTCTTATATTTAAAAACCAGAATATCTTTTTTTTCTAAGATTAGAACAAACAATAAATATCAATTTTTATAAAACTGTGTTTAATCTAGATAACATCTTACAAACTTCAAAAAGGTTGACATTTATATCAAATAGATACTACCAAACAGTTTATTTCTCAGAAAAATATCTAATTTTAAAAGTTTAAGAACAACTATTCTAAAACATTTAAGAAATAATAAATTCAATAAGAAATGAAATAAATAATATAATAAAATTAACTAAATAAATTGTGTATTCATTAAACACAATATTTAATAAAAAAACAGATTGTGAAATAAGTGAACTTATTTTTAGTTTTTATTATTAAATTAGTTAAGGTCTTTTGAAGAAGAAATTTTGAATGGGTTTTATTACTATCTCATGGTAATACTATCTAGATAAAAAGAATTTTAAATTACACTCTAAGTTATCTGTTAGTTGACAAAAGAATAAAACAAAGTACCTTATATTATCGAGAAATACTAGAAGAAAAAAAAACAAATAGAATTATGTTCTAATCTATTCATAGAGAAACTTCTGTTAAATATATTTTTGCTTTTTGAATGGAAATTTGTTTTTAATAGAAGAAGAAACAAAAAGATGAAAGTGAATTGAATTTCTCAAACCTTCTACATAAAATAAACATTAAAAAGTAACAATGCTAGTTCATTAACAAAATCATTTTATCTCCCACTTTGATGAATGTGCCTCAATTCTTTTCTCCTTGTTGTACCACCACAACGTATCCACTGAACGTCTGCTCAAAGCAATCTTCATGTAATTTCTTTTCTGTACCAAACCAAATTTGCTCTACCCACCAAACTAATTGTCTGTACCATCAAGAACCAGAACCATTTAGTTGTTCTATAAACCAAATTAGTGAAACTCCAATGGAAGAAGATTACTCTTTTAATGATGAAGTTTTTGACCTTGAAGATTGTGGTGAATTCACTGACGACACCTCAGACTCAGTAGATGCACTCGCCTCTCAATTACTTGAAACAGTTGAAAATATTAAAAGACAATCTCAAGAAACAAATAAAATTCTCCAAAACATTATGAACATGAATAAACCAAAATAAATAACCATTTTTGTTTTATTTAATACACCAAAATAAACCTTGTATTATTCATTTATTCATGTAGTAACTCAAAGGTCTTTCTTTTCTTTTGTTTGTTTTTTAGATTATAAACGTGATATAATATTTTATGTAATAAATAACAAAAATAAATATGACAAATAAAAGAAATTCATAATTATTGGTTATCAAGAGATTGCCTTGGATTTCTTCTTCCAAAGAAAGCTCTTCGTTGTGGGGTGCTTGAGGGTTGTGGGACTCCTTGGACAACAGAGTTTGTTGGCTGTTGTAATGAGCTGTGTGAAACAGAAGTCTGTAATGGAGCAGGGGATTCATTTTGATATGCCTTCTCATTTGGAGTAACAGATTCTAGTCCTTGTGCAGTTCCAACAGGAGTTCTTGGAATGAATGAATACCTTCTTTTAAAAGAAGAGTTATGATCAGCAAATGTTCTTCGAGTAACAGGAGTAGGAGATTGAGTTGGTTCAGTTTCAGATGGTTGGCTCAAAACAGTTTGAGGACTTGAAGAAACTGGTTTTTGGCCCCATAAAGAAACTTTTCCTGTTTGTTGAGTTGGAGATGGTCTTGTATTTGAAACAATAGATTGAGAAGAATCAATATTAGATGGAGAAGAACCTTTTGGGGATGTTATTAGGTCTTTAGGCTCTTCATCAAGGGCACACCTATTAAATGCTTTAATGTCATTGAAATTTAATGAAACACCAAAATGAGCAGTTGCAGGTTGAGTTGGACTTTGAGAGTTAGTAATATGAGAAGGGGTTTGACTTCCTTGGGGAGTAGACGTAATTTCTTCTACTTTTTTAGAAGTGTCCAATACCTCTTGTAGATTCATTGTATGAGGTCTTTCATTTAATGACTCTGTCACTGGTTTTCTTCTAAATGTTCCTAAAGTCACACGAGTACTTGGAGAATTTGTTTTATTTGGAACAGACGCTGGACTTGATCCTTCACTTTCTATAGCTTTTTTATTAGATTGGGTATTATCGTGTGTTAAATTAGGAGAAGTTGTTTTTGATGAAAATGTTTTTGGACTTTTTGTTCTGTTAAAGAAACAAGGAGATTTACTAACAGGTTTTTTAACAGGTGTTGGGACTTCAAATATACCATTATTTTTGAAGTCAATTGGATTAGTGGATTGGAGATAATTCTTAGAGAATAATGAGTGAGTTGCAACACATGTATATTTTGTGTCTAAAAATGCTGCAATTGATAAAATAGTATTTTTGCGTTCTTCAAAAATAGTTCTTGGACTTTCAGAATTTGTAGAATGACTTAATAGTACAGAAGATATAAAAGAAGGAAGAGTTTCGAAAGGAACTAATTGGGACTCTAAAGCAATTCCAGTTTTTTGATTTAATTGAACATTAAATAATTCTGAAGTAGTTGGACTAATAATAAATTGTAATTCTGCATCATAATGAGATAGTTTATCAGGAGACCCCCAAATAATTATTGCCTTATAATTAGTGTTTGGAAGAATATTATTTAAGACATCTATTTGGTAATTAATTCTAAAGCCATTATCTTCTTTAACAAGTGAATTTTTCTTTTCATTTTCATTTTGAATTAACTGTAATTCACCAAGATTATCAATGAATGAAATGTATTGATTTGTTATATGATCTGATTTAATTAATACTTCATATTGACTAATTAGAGAAATCTCATCAAGTTTTTTTAATTCTTTAAATAGGTCATCCCCAACAATAAGTTCTTCTACAGGGCTATTAGTTAAATGGTTAAAATTTAATAAAGTAGATAATAATCTTTGAAGGAAAAATTCATTAAATACAGTACATTTATAATTCTTCCAATTCTTTTTAGAAATAATAATTGGGTCATGTAATATACCATTTTTCATTATTTTACTATTTTTTTCTTCTTGTTTATTAATAGAATTCATAAGCTCACTAATATTAATAAAATCATTTTTTTCAGTCCATGAACTTTTTGTAATTTCAATTTCTTTATGGTTGTCTTCAATATTTGGACATGAATAATCAATTCTTGTCCACTGTATTTCTTCATCATGCATTTTCATAGTAAAAATTTGTTTTCCATAACGAGTACGAATAATACAAAGAAGAGTATTTTCAATCCAAGGTAACTCTATTATAGAAAATATTGCTTGTTCAAATACATAATAACAATGAATAGAATTTTCCCAGTCAGATGATTTGTTTATTAATTCTTTCTTTAAAATTAATTCATTAATATCTTGGTTATTTTCTATGGAATGAAGATAAGTATTAATAAAAGAATTATATAATTGAATATCATATTTAAATAATGAAAGTGTATTTTCGTTTTCAATAATTTTATTCATTTTATCTATTAAATTCATTGTAAATAATAATTCAGCTGGTTTCATAAATGAATAACAATAAGTAAAATAACAAGAATATATATTAAGTAATGGACATACTGATTGTAAATTATCAATTCTATAACTAATATACTGTTGTATTAATAAGAAAATATCTTTTACTGATTCTTTATAAAAATGATATCGATAAATTAAAATAATTCTAAATAAGTCAAGAAGTGATTCTAAATTTCCAGATGAAATAGAAGAGAACCATTCATAATAATTAGAACTTAA